AGAGTGTTTTTCATCCTGGAGGCTCACAGGACTTACTTTACAATACAGAGGTACTGCACAGAGATCACTTCCTACAGGATTAGGATACAACCACTTCTGGAGTGGAACATACCAAGCGTTGAACAGCACACACTAATGCTATGCAACACTTTAACAAGGTGAAAAGGAATACTGAGCCACTGGGAATTGTATTGGAAATTGACATCAGCCCAGTGTCCTGGTCAGCTTCTAACTGGGGCAGTTATATCTGGTCTACTTTTAGGGAAAAACCAGTTCCATGGGACCTTCCAGTGACCACAGGGCTCAGGATCTCTGTTTTAAGTCATCTACGAAAGATAGTCCCTCTAGCAATGCTACACAGGAACAATGTGTCCCAAGCAGCACAAGACTGCTGGGGCTTTATTTCTTGAAGCTATTGCCTTTTTTATTACAATCAAGTATCCGTTTAATAGGGAACAGGTCCATCATAAGCAGCTGCATCCTGTCCTTACAGGGGACAGACATGATGATCTAACTGGGTTTTTCATTGGTAACTATTGTGGATCCTGTACAAGAACTGTTTCAGACAGCTTTTGCCTGATGGTATTACAGTTTCTATTACTCACCCAGGCCCACCTAGACATCAGCCCGTTTCTCTGTGGCTGCTTCAGCCTCCGACGATTTATTTACATAAATGCCATACAGCTACCTTCTGAAGAAGGTCCAGACTGCCAGAATAGCTCAGGAAAGGGGAGTCTCAAGTTGCAGAGTTTCCTCTTAACTGTCTCCTTTAATTGCTGTCTGCTTCCATAAAACATTACACTTAATAGTTATGGTGATTGGAGTCGCCAATTTGAAAAATAATTACTGCCTTCCTCAAGATTACCTTGCCTCCTAATTAAAATCCCGGACCTTGCATAGTAAAGGTGTGCTATTGACACAGCATCCCATGTGCGCCCAGACAGCCTCATTTGGGTTTGCAAAATTAATTAGTGTTTGTTTCAGTCCCCAGCTGTTCTCCCGAATTGGGAACAGCACATGCGCTGGCAATGTGGATGCTGTCTAAATTGACCAGAGCAGTGAAAGCGACAAGAGAGTGATTTGTTCCTGCATAACTCATGTGGCCGCTATGACAAGCTGCCCATTAAATAGCGCCCCCTGTGTCCTTTCCAGACATCACCGGAGGAGCTCTCGGTTCCCGCAAAGCGAGGACGAGATGCATTCACCACAGTCGAGCCGGCGCCATAGCTCGAGCGCTTTACAACCCAGGAGCTCTTTCCTTTCAGCACATCCATCTTCTCTGTCTCCAGAAGGGCCCAGAGTTGGAGCCTCCCTCCCTCCCACCTCATCCCAAGTCTTCAGCACTAAGGCAGGAGGCACCTTTGCCAACTGGCACTAGCAGATCCCTGGATGTTGAGAAGGGAAAATGTTTTGCCCATGTGCCGCCCAGAAGTACTTCAGGCTCAGTGTTCGGTGTCAGAATTTCGTATCTGCAATACAAGGAAATACAGGAGAAAGATGCATGGATTTTTATTGTAGGGTTACTCGTGAATATTGGGCTGCATGCATAAGTTTGTTTTTGTAGGGTTGCTCCTCTTGCTGGCACTGGGTTTTTTTTCTACCATTAAAACATTTTTTAAAATGACATGAAACATCAAGCATTACTCAGACTTTGTACATAGATGCAAGGAGGGACTGCAAGAGAGTGGCCGTATCTGTCTGGCATCCAGGTGCAGCCATGTCTTTCCCCCATTTCAGTACCTCCGTTTCCTAGCAGTTGGGCAATTTGGCTTGCCAGCCAAATCAAAAGCTCTCCCTTTCCAGGGTACCCAAAAGTGCAAACCAGAAACCACACATGCCAGGCCTTCTCCCCTCAGGGCAGGGGCTTTACAAATAGTCGTTCACCCCTTGCCTGCAGGGTTGTCCGATCTCCCCTTCCAGGAAATGCAGCTGAAGTGCAGGGGAGCTCATGCCCTCCTGCTACTGGGTACTCCAGCCCTAAGGCCCCAGTTACTAAAACCCTTATGGTATAGCCACAATGCAAAAAGAACCTCAAAGCAGCAAGTCTCCAAGCCTAGGGTCAACTGGCTCCAGCTTGTGGGGACTCAAGCTATAGGGCTGAAAATAGAGCATAGACGTTCCCTGGCGCTGGAGCCCAGGCTCCAAAACCCAGCAAGGGGGAAGGTCTCAGACCCCAGGCTCCAGCCTGAGTGAGAACATCTGCACTGCTAATTTTAGCTCAGTAGCATGAGCCCCACATACCCAAGTCAGTTGACCTGGGCACTCAGATGTGCTGCCGTGGGGTTTGTTTTGCAACGGAGACAGATCGAGTCTGTCTACACTGCAGTCAGAAGTGGGACTTCCGCACGTGTCCATTTACCTGTGCTAGCGTGCATCTAGCTAGCTCACCTAACAGCAGTGAAGACATGGCAGCTCTGACTAGCTGCTGGAGGACATACCCAGGGTCCTGGGTGGGCTTGGACAGCCCATGCTGCCATGGGTTCACTGCTGTTGTCATTCGAGCTACCTAGATCAAAGCAAGCTCAGCTACATCTCCATGTATTGCGGTCACATCTCTGACTGCAATGTAGACTTACCGTTAACGGTTCAGCTGTCTCTATGACTGGGACATTGGGTATCCTTTCGGGCCTCCCATTCTTTGCAGTGGAACTTGAACAAGGCTGTGGTCCATACATAGGTTTCCTGGTATCTATAAACAAACAACCCCTGAAAAAAATACCTCTGATAGGTTGTGATGCAGCCAGTGTTCTGCTTTGTGGGGTTGTATGACGGCCCAAGGTGTGGCACAATATAAGATACTGTTAAAATGCCAGTGCTAGACTGGCAGCGGTAGCAGAGGGAATTTTGAGGCTGTTAAACTTTATGGGATAAATTCATCCCTGGTGTAACTCCACCAGCACGAACGAATGAATTTGGCTTTACAGGTATCTCCAGTGCAGCTGGATTACAGTAACTTCCCTGCTGAAGGACTTTCCCTGGCTTCTCAGTATTAAATGGCTGTAATAATAGCCCATGTCTCTCGTTGGCTGTATTGGTCTAATGGCTGCCCTCTGGGCTGCCGTGTGACATACACAGGCACAGCTGTTTCGCGGCCACCTGTGGGATAACCCTGTACGGCTTTACAATAGCAAAGTTTGCTTTTCTCTTACGACAACATATGGGGCCGGGCTGAAGCTGCAGGGATAATGCCTCTGAGCAGGGATTTTCAGAGGCAGCTGCACATCACCATGTTTCTTTCCCTGGCAGACCCTGGAAGCATCACCCCTCTCAAATGCTGTCTGGCGAGCAGGTGAGCCATTCGAAGGAGCACCATCTTACCAAGACATTCCTTCCAGAAAGGTCACAGCAGAGTGCTTTGCCGTAGCCACAGGCGCTCAGATAGCAGGTGATGTGAATGCTTAGCAGCCAGCAGTCACCACCACTAACCTACAGGAAAGCAGGACTGTGTTCCTAGCATGTCCTGAGAGTTCTACTCCAATTTAGCTACACTTATAAACTTCTACTCACCAGCTCACTCGAGGAGTGTCATTTTCCCCCCATCTAATCGAAGGCAGACAAGTAGGTTTTATACCTGGGCTACTAAATGTTCATGGCTCCTCGGCAAAGCTAATTTGCAGGGTTGAGGCTCAGCTCCTGCACAGGGATTCCGCTGAGTGGACACCTGCAAGGAGTCCCACAGAAGTCAGTGGGAATGCACGCAAGTGTAAAGGCCTGCACTGTGGAGTGGGACCTGTGAGGGCAAAATCGAAGTTCAGAATGCTGAGCAACCTCCCAGAAATGCTGCACAGAGCCGCCAAACCCTGCTCTGCATTTCCTATCGAAAGCCCAGTCAGCCTTGCAGAGTCTGAAACTAGGCTCTTTGAAATCCCAATTAACCATAATCCATGGGCATCTAACGTGAACATACCCCATGGCAGGCGTTTGAACAGGCTGACTCTGGGGAAGTGCAAGCCAAGCATGATCACAGGCAAGCAGCAGCTGCGGGCACTACAGGCAGTTCGGTCTACAGCCAGGGATGTCAGGTGTAGAACATGGACAATATCAAATGTGATTCGGTAGGGAAAGGATACACCTGGGGGAGATTTTCCACCCTCCCCCCATTACAGTGCTCTCTGCTCAGGAAGGCAGACAGATGCTCCGTGCTGTCAAACTCCAGGAGCTAGTAACATTCTTTGTGACAATACAATATTACTGCAGTATTTTCTAGTCACAGCCCAAAACACTCCCACTTTCAATAGGGCTTTTGTTGTAACTTGACTCATTGCAACAGGGTGCAACTTCCACCCATCTTCTCTGTCATCCTTCATGAAAAATAATATAGTATTTAACAGTGCTGGCCCCAAACCATCTCAGTAATACTAGTGCTTGCTCCTGCTCTATGCACGGTTACTCCAAAATGCTGTGGTATGTTCTGACAAGGGACCGCAGAGGTGAGCACTGGCTTTAATAGTCTGCAGTTCGGTGTTTCTCCAGCTTTTCAACTCAGCGACCCCTTATTCAAAGTCAAAAATGTTCACAACCCCATTACAGTTACTAGAGAGTCAAGACATCATGCATCAGTGATAACAATGAGCTGCTTATATAATGTACGTGGGAGTGTGTGTTTTGAGAGGTTGACAGAGACTACTTGACCTGTCTCTAGTGTTGGTCTTCTCTGCTGTAAGGAAGATGTTTATGGACTGAAATACTGTGGGCCACTACTGTAGGAGTTTTTTTTCATAAGGGATTGAAGAACGGTAAAGCACTCAGATACCTCAGTGACAAGTGTGCTGTAAATTCCTAGACAGAGAGACAGCTGCTTAGTCATGAACCAAATGCAGCAGTAGTTATTTCTTGGCCAGCAGAACTGCTACATCAATCAGCCATCTCTCACTACTGAATCTGTCTTTGATGTAGCGAGGGCAGAGGAAGGGAAGGGGACAGTATGTGACATGAAGGCTGCGCATGGCGAGTCTTGCTATGGCATGAATAACAGGATTTGGTTTTCTCCCCCTTTCCAGGTACTGGCTAACAAACAAAGTGCACATAAAACGACCAACCACCGGCCTGCTCATGTACACCCTGGCCACCCGCTTCTGCAACAGGATCTATCTCTATGGCTTCTGGCCTTTTCCCCGGGATCAGAACCAGAACCCCGTCAAATACCACTACTATGACAGCCTGAAGTACGGCTACACCTCCCAGGCCAGCCCCCACACCATGCCATTGGAGTTCAAAGCCCTAAAGACGCTGCACCAGGAAGGAGCCTTGAAACTGACTGTCGGAGAGTGCGATGGGGCCACGTAAGACAGGCTTCTGTGGCTCATGTTCCTGCAGGCTACACGCCATGGGAGGATGGGGGAGCGGGGGAAAAGGCTGAGCAGTGGCTAGTGGGGTTGGTTTTCTTTGTTAACGTGCAGAACAGTGACAAAAACATATATATACATGGTGCCTATATATATTGGCCTGAGTAGTATAACTGTTTGGTGTTCCCCAAGGGAAGGACAGACGAGTTGCAGAAGAGTCTGAAGCTGCTGCCCGGGCTCGAGGCTTTGCCTTGGGCTGGTTAGGCTCAGAAAGAAGTTAGTTCTACAACGTCAAAAATGCTTGAAGGTCACCTTGGTTTTTCAGAGTACTTTAGGGTGACAGGTAAATGTTAGGCCATGTGTGTGACTGGTCCAAGGTGGGTAGTTAGGGTCTGTTTGGCCAAGAACCCACGTGCTGGCACTTCCCAGTATATAGCGTTCTTGGCTTAGTGCTAATAATAGGGTTGTGGGGGGAGCGGAGAGGGAGCCTTTGTTTGTGGCTAAAGAGCTGAGAGGTTGCCTGAATGACTGGACAGGAACTGAGAAACGCAGCAGGACCTAGCTGAGCACCGTGGTCCCTTCTCCGCAGCAGGACAACCATACTCTCTCCCGGTGAATGGCACGCAACATCGTCCAGATGGTTACCAGTTCAGAGATATCCCACGTGGTTTGGTGAGAAGGGTGCCACCGTCAGAGCAGCCTGTTTGGAAAGGCCGCCGGACTCTGGACAGAGCCCTTGAGATGCAGCGTGAGACTCACCCTAGTGACTGTGACTCCAGGAGACACCGGACAGGGCCCTCAAAAGCAGGCTGATTTGAATGAAGTTTGCTGTCAAAGGAGACACAGGACCTTCCGGGAGCGGGAGACAACACAGGGGCTAGTGAAGATCAGACTGGGCTGACGGTCTCAGAAGGACACTGTGTTTATGTTTTTTTATTCCTCTCCTAAAGAACTAACAGAAAAAGCAAAAACACTGGAACGTAGCAGGTGGGCTGCTGAAACCAGTGCAGTCAGTGCTAAGTCTTACACTGTCAAAGGCACTCAGCATCTGCCAGAGCTTATGAAAACCATAAGCACATTGTAACTCCTGCTTCCCGATCACTGCCTGCTAAACAGCCCTTTCTTCTCCCTACTCCAAAATTAGTAACGGGCCTAAGTCTCAGCTAAGCAGAAATCTCAAAAGTGAGGGTGTAACAGGACCCTGTCAAAATTAAATCATACAGGTGACATTCACGTCTGAGCAGAGAACCACCATGAGGCCTGTGCACTACTTAAGACCTAGCTAATCTTTATGTTGAAGACTTAGGTAGGACTTAAGTGGTACTGTATATAGATATCAAGCTGGCCCTCCACACACGGGTGAATTTCACTCAGAGTTTAAATAAATCAGTCCCTTCCCTGCATTACTATTACTACTTACAGTAAAAAGAGTGAAGTCGTTCTTAAAAAAACAAATTTGCTTTCCACTTTTCTTGTTTGTTTGTTTGTCAGTGAGACTAGATTGATCTGGTTAGTCAATTTCACTTCCTGTTTCTATTCCAGTTTCCTTTCCTAACTCTCATTTGTCAGCAGAACGCAGTTGGGTTTGGGTTACAAAGAGTGCAGAAAGTTTAATTTAAACTACAACCGCAACAAATGGCATTACAGAATTTTGTCTTTAATTGTGAAAGAGGTCCTGTTAGTATTAGTTTTTTGTTATCTACATGCCTACATTGTGGGGTCATTGAGACTGATCCTTTGAAATCTGAGTGCCGGCCTCCATAACTTTTAAAAGGTAAAACTGTATGTCATGTTTATGAACAAAAAATTGCCATGCCTGTAAGACCGTCTAATCTAATAATTAGCGTTCAACCTGATTCACATTAAGGAGCAGGTAACCATTATGGATTAACCTGCCTGTAGGAGAAGTTTCTTCCTAACCCAAGGAAATTATATCCCTTATTTTATTTTTTAGCCCAAGTTTTTAAATTCATCTTGATTTTCTGAGTATACATCCTACCTTGGACCTTGATATAATTACTTGTAATTTTTGAGAGATGGGAAGAGATTAAAAAGAAAGAAGCATCAAAAACCAATCTGTTTTATGATCATGAGAGGCTTTACTCAATTGAGTAATGAATGGTCATTCAAGACAGACCATCTTCTCCGCCATTCATGCCCAGCTAGGAGGAGGTGGTGGCTAAAGGTGAAGCCACTGGATTCTTGACCTCAACTCCTTACCTTTAGCGAGTGGCCCTAGGCCAGGGAGCGATTTCTATGACCATAACTTTTTTCAGAAATAAAATAAATGGTGTGACTTTTATTTGTAAACCGATTAGAAAATAAAAAGCTACTACAGGGCCATAGCTGGTACCCTTGCACGTTCCATGTCCGTGGCAGGAGCACAGCCTAGTTTCCTTGCGGCGGAGATTGGGGGCCTCAGAAGAGAAAGCGATTGCTTGCCTTGCTAAAAGGGAGGTGTGGCTATTACTTAAAGGTCTTCCTGCAAGATATTTTAAAACACCTGCAAAGCCTCATGAGTTCTAGCCAAGGGCATTACGTAACAGGCAGCTTTTTCCCTTAAAAAAAAATGCATTTTTGTTTCCCTGGTTCACATGTGCCAGCTCCTGGGCTTGCTGTTTGATTGAATCAAAACACATGCCAGCTGTACACAAAGCAACTCAGCAGGCAGAGTATCCCAGTGACACTGCTGCTCCTGGAATGGACCCCAGGCATTCACTCTTGAAACAAAATGCATTAAACCAGGGATGATTTACTCAATGGCAAATCCCTCCATTCTCTTCAGTGGGATCAGGTTTGGTGGTTTAAAACAATGACTCTGCTTTACACAATAATCACCTGCAAAAATCATATTTAGGATCTGCCAGTTATAAGTTATTTGTGTGCACAAAAGCATCTGGAAAGAATCCCATTAGCTTTACTAGGTTTGGCCCTAAAGCCCCGTCCTGTGAAACATTACTCAGCATGTTGCCACCTCTAGGCAGCTCTCACATGACATCTGGACAGCTGCCAGGCCTGCTCCAATGGACAGCGGTAGCCAATGAGTTGAAAAACTCACTGAAAACCTACATTACCATCCCTGCTTTACCTAAAGGGCTAGGCCAACTGGCACAATACACCCCAGCACTAACCCAGCATCTGAGCCTAGACAAGCCAATACAGCGGGTTGGTTTTTTGTTAGAGGATACGGGAGCCGCTGAATTTCACATTTTCCTTCCCCTCTGTAATGGCTGCTATTAGATGGATGCAGTTTGGATTTCTCAGTCAAATGGAGGTGGGGGGGAGGGTCTTAATAAATTCTTGCTGCTGCTGTCTGGAACTGTGCAGGAAGCCATCACACCAGATGTCACTGGGACCGACCTGCTCCAGGAGGCTGCTGCTTGATACATTTCTTCATGCCTAATTAAGGCTCCTCTTCCAAAGAGAATGAAACACAAAGTTTATTGATGCTGCTCAAATGGGAATTCAAGCACATGTGTTGCACTATGAATGTCTTTAATAACCCCCCAACTGACAGCAGCAGCTTCCCACACAGGCTGGCACACGCTCTCATTCTACTCCTGCCTGTCTTTTCCCTTTTTCTCTCTTCCTCTCTTGCTCTCCATCTCTGTCTGGTTCCATATGTGGGTCTGGCCCCCTTTTATCTCCCCCTCCCCCCCACATTAAAAAGGACATTTCAAACCTCACTGCAACTTATACCAGCATTTCCTATAGCAGCGATTGGCAACGTTTGGCACGCAGCCTGTCAGGGAAAGCCACTGACAGGCCGGGCTGGTTTGTTTACCTGCCGAGTCTGCAGGTTCGGCCGATCGCAGATCCCACTGGCCGCGGTTCACCATCCCAGGCCAATCGGGGCTGTGGGAAGGGCAGCCAGCACATCCCTCGGCCCATGCCACTTCCCACAGTCTCCATTGGCCTGGGACAGCGAACCACGGCCAGTGGGAGACGCGATCGGCTGAACCTGCAGATGCCGCAGATAAACAAACTGTCCCAGCCCGCCAGCAGCTTTCCCTGATGGGCCACATGCCAAAGGTTGCCGATCCCTGCCCTATAGTAACCTGGAGTGGGCTTCTTACTATTGCTAGTGTAAAACCGAACATGCTTTCTATGGACCAAAATAAAAAATGCAGAACAGCTGTTAAAATGGAACGGAAATGGCAGATGCAGAGTGGAGAGTTTGTTACTCTTTCTCTATGCTGGGAAATGGAACTGGTGGCTCGCCTTGAACTGGTGCTGAAGGCTTAAGAACATAAGAATGGTCATACTGGGTCAGACCAAAGGTCCATCTAGCCCAGTTTCCTGTCTTCTGACAGTGGTCAATGCCAGGTGCCCCAGAGAGAATGAACAGAACAGATAATCATCACATGATCTATCCCCTGTTGCCCATTCCCAGCTTCTGGCAAACACCGGCTAGGGACACCATCCCCGCCCAACCTGGCTAATAGCCATTGATGGACCTATGCTCCCTGAATTTATCTAGATCTTTTTTGAACCCTGTTATAGTCTTGGCCTTCACAACATCCTCTGGCAAGGAGTTCCACAGGTTGACTGTGCGTTGTGTGAAAAAATACTTCCTTTTGTTTGTTTTAAACATGCTGCCTATTAATTTCATTTGGTGGCCCCTAGTTCTTGTGTTATGAGAAGGCATAAATAACACTTTCTTATTTACTTTCTCCACTCAAGTCATGATTTTATAGACCTCTATGATAGCCTATAAAAGCAATTTCACACACTGCTTGTGTAGCCAGGACTAAATCATTTTCAGCACTGTTACAGAAAGCTCAGCTGAGTGTTGGTTCCACCTGCACTAGAAACATTTCTCAGCCTCGAGGTGAATTGCTGAGATCAGCTCTTAGTAATGAGCTAGTCTCCCAGTGTAGATGGAGCAGGGCCTTAATGGTACAGAAGAGATACTCTCACACGTATCAGTGAATGGTGTCAGCCTCCGAGTGCTAGAGCAGGAAGTTCTCAGTCACCGCGAGAGTGCAGCAACACAAGGCCAGAACTATCCTAGCCCTAACCTCTAGCAATGAGAGGAGACTTCATTCTCTATAATCGTTCCAGTCCTTGGTGTCTGAGTTGATGCCCCACAAGACAGCCAATCAGAGCCAGCTGTGGTGGTACGAGGAATTGAACTCACACCATCAAAATGGTTTTACATAGACTGCCAAAAGGCCAGCAAATGGTAACAACTTTTGGGCACTCCTGATCTAGGCTGGATTTGAACTTGTGATATAGAGGTGAAAGGCTCCATATCATTTAACTACACGCTTGAGTCATCCAGGCACCCTTAAAGAGGACTCTGGCATGCCAGCTGTGCAGGCTTAAATCTAACACTGCACCCCATGCTAGTCACTGCAAGATGTGGGAGCCGTGGAACATGCACTGGTCTACAAGAGAGACTGTGCAGCCAGCCCATTTCATGGTCTGATGGTGTGTCACCATCCAAAGCAACGGTTCCTTCTGGGAACTGCAAAACCAACCATGTGGATGGGTGTTGTATCATGAACATTATTGTGTGTCTTGCTGATTTTTCCTCTTGTTCCATACTTCGTGGTTCCCGTTTCCTCTGTCATCTGCGTCTCAGACAAGGACTGCAGGGATTTGGAAGCGGGACCACAAAGACCTTTTCCCTCTCCACATATTTGTCTTTCAGGCCTGTTGGTCCCTATCACAGGCTGCCTGGGCCTTTAAGGCAAGCTGGGCTCAGCCTGGCCTGTGACCTAGCAACCAAGTGATAATTGACTCTAGCTGGTGTTTCAGGGGAAAGAGTTAAGGAAGGACTATATAAGCAGAGCTGAGAATTCACTGCAGAGGTGGGGAAAGTTTGTAAGCCTTAGCAGAAGGCCAAGCCAAATGCCTGTCCCCACCAAGTGGGAGACGGGCTGGGGAGACAGGTGTTTTGGAGGGCTGAAGGCAAAAGTAGGCTGAATAGTACAGAAGTCACTCTGGACAATGAGGGAGAAGAAGCTAGGAATGAAGAATGGCTGCAAAGTTGGGAAAAGATGAGAAATATCAGAAGAAGCAGCAGGGGAGGGGAACAAAGAGTAGGATGGAATGCCAAAATATTGCAATTGTCAAATTGCTGGGTGAGGAAGTGAAGATAAGCAACATTAATCCTTTGCAAATAGCTACATGGATTAGGGAAAATGTTAGGGCTATATCAAGAGCTAGACTATTACGGGGTGGAGATTTATTGGTGGAGTGTATGGGTGAAGAACAGGCTGAGAAACTGCTTAAAACTAAAATTCTTGGGAAAATAAAAATGGCTTGCCAGCCCCCCAAATTTCTGACAGAAACAACCGGGGTAATATATGGGATCCCACGGGAAATGATTGAGGATAAAATTTAAAAAGGTATAGGTAGGCCCAGGTGCTATTCATCAAGCAATTAATTAGAGGGGGAGAAAACAAACCATCAACAGGTGTGCAAACAACACTTAGAGGAAGGGTTTTACCTGACTGGGTAAAGCTAGGATACCCTATATTTTGGACTAACCCATACATTCCTCACCCTTTGAGATGTTACAAGTGCCAAAAATTTGGCCATGTGACAGATGTGTATAAAGGGGAAACACAAGATGTGGTAAATGTGTAGAGGAGCATTCATATGAAACCTGTGGGGATAAGAACAGTAGCTACCATGAATCCTCCATAAGCTAAACAGGCTAGGGAGATACAAAGAACCAGGATTACCAACAAGCTATCTTATGCAGAAGCTGCTAAAAGGCATTCAAAGTGACAGGTGGGGAAGAAGGAGAAAACCAGTAAGGGAAAGGAACCATTGCTACAACACAGTGTTATAAAGGATATGGTAAATAATATAAGAGCAGTAGGGGAAGCCATATTTGCAGAGAAGATGGCATTTGTAGGGTAGAAGTAAATTTGTAGGGTAGAAGTAATAAACTGCGCTTCACAAACAGAAAGGAACAGAAAGAATACAGATAATAAAAGCTGCAGAAAAGTATTTGCATGTTAATGCAATTTTGTGTGAGGGCAATGATGCAGTTTAACTAATATGGTGCTTAAATAAATTGTGGGAATGCACAACGCTTAATACCACATGGTCAGGAACTAAAGAAGACTATTTTTGAAATGTAATATGATGCTTTCTCGAATACTGACCTGCAGGGAGTTTCAGGATTTTATTAAAATTATATAATAGTATATAAGAAAAGGAGTAATTCCAGTAGAATGGAAGCATCTGGGGACAGTACCAATAAGGAAGCCAGCCAAGTTACTTATGAGAATTGATGCTTATAGACCAATTGTTATCATATCTTGTGTGGGTAAAGTTATGAGA